CGCATGCATTTTCCCATCTTGGCACTCAATCCTGCATAAACATTTGGGACCCTCAATGGAATGCAGCTAGTTCACTACTGGAATGCATCAGATTCAGGACATGAACAGAATCGATCCTCTTCTCTCTCTTACCCCCCTTCATTTTCATGGTACATTCTGTTTTTTTGCCTGGTTTCTGGGGCTGCTGGTTGCTTGGTATATCTCGGCCATGGCCCAGCTGATTCAGACGCCTGAGAAGTGACTGCGGGATGATATGCGGGATGACGTACCTTACACACAAAAAGCTAGATTTTACACAGATAAGCTTTTACACAAAAAAGCTTCTGCACAGAGCAAGCTTTTACAGAGAAGCTTTTTACACAGAGAAGCTTTTACTCACAGAACAAGCTTTTGTGCAGAGAAGCTTTTACACACATACACATAGGAGCTTTTATGCACAGAAGCTTTCACGCTCAATGGCACCAGAATTTGTAGGTCCAGCGCCAAAAAGGAAAAAAATCCGCTGACAAATCACCATCGCAACCTTGGTGCAGCCATTCCAATACGATCCACAATGCTCAGCTGCAAAAGACCATGGTATCATGCACGCAGTCGCAGCACCAACGAACCTTGACGCAGCCATTACGGTGCGATCTCTACAGACTGAGTTGCAAAACACCAAAGAACTACGCGCAACAGCACCAGAAATTGCAGCTCCAAAACCAGATAGATCTCGGCGCCAAAGCAAAAACAAGAGTAATTACGGAAAAAATGTTTTTTTAAGAGCAACGAAAGGTGCCAAAAACGAGAAAATAAACAAAATGCGATTGCCGCAACCACAACTTGTGAAAACAAAGCTTTCGTGCGAGACATCCCTCCAAAAAAAAAACAGTTGAAGATGTGAAAACAAAGCTTTTGTGCGAGACATCCCTCAAAAAGTGACAGTTGAAGATGTGAAGACAAGCTTTCGGTCAAGACTTCCCGCAAAGTTTAATTTTGAAGGTGAATTTGCGCAAAACGACGCCTGAAGCGACAGCTACACTGCGGGGCCGACCCGAGCATGATCCGAGGACACACGAGAGTGTTTCCCAACGGCCGCGCGACAGACCTTCCCCATCCATCTTCCGAGGCACGCTTTGTCGTGCAAAACACAGCGTGCATCCGCCAACTCTCAAAACCGCATTTCGTGCGAGACTTCCTTCAAAATCTGAAAATGGATGAAAATGGAAGATGTGAAAATGAAGCTTTCGTGCGAGACACCCCTCCAAAAGTGACAGTTGAAGATATGAAAACAAAGCTGTCGTGCGAGACATCCCTCAAAAAGTGACAGTTGAAGTTGCGAAAACGAAGCTTTCGCACCAGACTTCCCCACACACACACACACACTTTGGCTTTCTCAGAACCATTTTTGCGAATTCTGGTGTGGAATGCATCTTACGTGCAAAAACACTCCAATTACACCTATGGGGTCGGTGAAAAGACCCGAGAAAAATCGAAACGGTACCATCGCCATGTCCAGTGCTAGATGAAGTTAGTTGACAGATTGCGACAACAGCGCGGAGATTGCCAAAACGACATGGAGGTTCTTGGGTTGAGCCTCTTCCCATCATCAGAAAATGAAAATTGAATGGAAGCAGACCCTGAGCAACAGGTAATCACAACAATGCAGGTACACCAGGGTGATCACCCCCGGCTTCCACCATCATGCATAGCTCCGTTGGCATGCGTTTGCATGATGGTCGCATGCCCCCTGCAGCAAGAAAAACGAGTAGAAGTTTTACATCCTTTCAGATGTTTGACACACACACACACACCCTCCCGCGGGAGGGTGGGAAATTAAGGTCCGGGCGGTGAAATGAAAATGAAAAAGAAAGGAAATGAAGATGAGGTGAAGATGAGAATGAGATGAAAATTACTTAGCCAGGACGCGAAGAGGGGAACGCAAAAGAAGAGGGAAGGAGAAAACACCAACACAATGAAACCTGGCCCGAAGCGGGCAAACCCTGAAAGGGCAAGGGAAAAAGAGCGGAGGCCGACGGACACAGAACAAGACCAGCGGAGGGGGGGAAGACGGAAGCGCCTGAACCAACCCTGAACCAACCTAACACAGCAAAAACCTGCACCTACCTCGGCACGGGAAGGACCCAACCTACCTGTAGAGAGGAGGAGAAGACACATGAAATAGGGGACCCATGGGGGACTAGTTAGTGAAATTAGTGAAATGATATGCATCCACAAAACATGCAAGGTCCCCTATTCAGGCACAATGGCCTCCTGGTCGAGTCACCCCCATAAACGGCTGTCAGTAGTTACATGCACATTTGCACCGTACCAACGACCAAAAAATGAAGAGTCACCATACCTGCAAGCATGGCCTGTGCCTGGAATCATCATGTTGCAATTGCCGACATCTGAAAATGCTCGAGCAATATTGAAAAAGGAAGGTTGTCGCGGCTGAAGGCTACAAACCCTTGCAGTACACTTGAAATGGTGAATCCCAGATACAGCGGGCAGCTGTTCAACACGCACTCGACCGATGGGTGAGAAGCTGAAAAAGGAACGACTGCTTCACTTTACTTAAACGAATTACTAGGTTGAAAATTCTAAATTCAGAGATCAAGTCGTTGCTTCGCTCTCCTGCTTAGAGAAGCATTCTGCGAAGGGTTCATGCCACCGTGACGAATCCAGCATGAATCACACACTTGCTCAGAACAATCTTTGCGAATTCTGGTGTGGAATGCATCTTACGTGCAAAAACACTCCAATTACACCTATGGGGTCGGTGAAAAGACCCGAGAAAAATCGAAACGGTACCATCGCCATGTCCAGTGCTAGATGAAGTTAGTTGACAGATTGCGACAACAGCGCGGAGATTGCCAAAACGACATGGAGGTTCTTGGGTTGAGCCTCTTCCCATCATCAGAAAATGAAAATTGAATGGAAGCAGACCCTGAGCAACAGGTAATCACAACAATGCAGGTACTCCAGGGTGATCACCCCCGGCTTCCACCATCATGCATAGCTCCGTTGGCATGCGTTTGCATGATGGTCGCATGCCCCCTGCAGCAAGAAAAACGAGTAGAAGTTTTACATCCTTTCAGATGTTTGACACACACACACACACACCCTCCCGCGGGAGGGTGGGAAATTAAGGTCCGGGCGGTGAAATGAAAATGAAAAAGAAAGGAAATGAAGATGAGGTGAAGATGAGAATGAGATGAAAATTACTTAACCAGGACGCGAAGAGGGGAACGCAAAAGAAGAGGGAAGGAGAAAGCACCAACACAATGAAACCTGGCCCGAAGCGGGCAAACCCTGAAAGGGCAAGGGAAAAAGAAAAGCGGAGGCCGACGGACACGGAACAAGACCAGCGGAGGGGGGGAAGACGGAAGCGCCTGAACCAACCCTGAACCAACCTAACACAGCGAAAACCCACACCTACCCTGGCACGCGAAGGACCCAACCTACCTGCAGAGAGGAGAAGAAGACACATGAAATAGGGGACCCATGGGGGACTAGTTAGTGAAATTAGTGAAATGATGCATCCACAAAACATGCAAGGTCCCCTATTCAGGCACAATGGCCTCCTGGTCGAGTCAACCCCATAAACGGCTGTCAGTAGTCAAAATGAATTACATGCACATTTGCACCGTACCAACGACCATAAAAAGAAGAGCCACCATACCTGCAAGCATGGCCTGTGCCTGGAATCATCACGTTGCAATTGCCGACATCTGAAAATGCTCGAGCAATATTGAAAAAGGAAGGTTGTCGCGCCTGAAGGCTACAAACCCTTTCAGTACACTTGAAGTGGTGAATCCCAGAAACAGCGGGCAGCTGTTCAACACGCACTCGACCGATGGGTGAGAAGCTGAAAAAGGAACGACTGTTTCACTTTACCTAAACGAATTACTAGGTTGAAAATTCTAAATTCAGAGATCAAGTCGTTGCTTCGCTCTCCTGCTTAGAGAAGCATTCCCCGAAGGGTTCATGCCACCGTGACGAATCCAGCATGAATCACACATAATCTTTGCGAATTCTGGTGTGGAATGCATCTTACGTGCAAAAACATTCCAATTACACCTGACAGGAAGGGGTCGGTGAAAAGACCCGAGAACGAATCAAGAAGTTTCCATTCCCAAAGCCACTGCTAGAAGCAAGAACTAAGCCAAATCGTTACCTCCTTGACAGATTGCGAAAACCGTACAGGCATTGAAGTGACGTCAAGTGAAAAACTGAAAGTTTGGTTGGAAAACTTGCTCGAAAAACGACATGCCGGCTTCCTGGCTTAGCCGGTTACCATCAACGAGAAACTGCAGAACTGAGATTGAAATTGCAGGTACGCTGGGTTGATCAGACCCAGTATCCCATGATTGTGGCAGCTTCGTTGAGTGCGGTCCCACAATCATGCCGCACTCCCCTGCCTTTGAAAACTGGAAAATTAGAAGTTTTACATCTGTTCAGATGTTCACACACACACACCACGCACATGCACACGCACAATAACACCTGCCTGACACGCATTTTGCAAATCCGTCACACGGAAGTCTAGACTTCTACACTTCCGTTGATCACTTCAAAACCATCATTTCACTTTACAACAGTTTCAAGAGCGCGGCTGTATTTGTGCCACTTATTATGCATGTTCCTTTGCGTCCCCCAGGCAGTGCAGTGATGCACTGTACAGGGCACAACCCCAACAAACACAAAATTCAGTTTGTTGGATTTTGCGCGCTTTTCTTCCCATCACACAAAAAGTACATCCGTTGCTGATGTTTTTATGTATGGTGTTCACGTTGTTGTTGTGTCTTCTGCGCGCTCTGTCATGTATGTTGTGATATGTGGCTTGGCGCCCGTGATGTTGTCATGTTTGCTGCAGTATGCTGAAGTTTGGCACTTTGCTGTGAAATGTTCTTTCATATTGTTTTGAATTGTGCGTGGGTCGCTGTTTGTTTATGCCGATGCGGCTGCAGTGACGTGGGGACGCAACAGCCCCTCAATACTACACGGCAATTCGACAGGACTTCAGGAAGATTCTTTCATGGCCTTGTCATCAGTGCAGTCCACAGAAAAGTGCCCGGAAGCCACATCGTTTTTTCCATCGGCCTGCAATTTACTTTGCTTATTTCGGCGCATACATACAACCATGTTTCAGCAGGTGTGCTGGGATAGCACCAAGGTTTAAACACATGATTCCATGATCCGAAGCTTCAAAAGACTTGTTCAATTTTCTTTTTTACTTTTGACATCATTTGGCTAACAGCGATTGCAAACCATTAATTATTAAAGAGCTGCTGACCTTACTCTTGTAGGTACAGTTACCTGAGCCAAAGAGCGATTTCAGAAGCTGTACGGGATGATCCGCGGGCAAGGCATGGCCACCTGGTAGGCTGCGCACCAGATGCCAAAAATCACGAGATCATCCTCGGCACATGCGAAGCCCGAGTGCACAACATGACGTATACTTACGGTGCGACAGGCGAAGCCAGAAAGGCGCGGTTCTGCCCAAATTGGTAGCTGTGAGGATGGACGGGCCAGGCCAGGCATTGACCGACACGCTGCGTTGCACTGCGACGCATTGCCATTGCAAAATCAAAAGGAGGATGCAAGTTTGCAATGGGTGTGAGCAGATTTGCGGTTTGTGATGGTTTGCGAATATTATTGGCACGGTGTTTGTGGCAGTACAAGCTAATTACGTGGACCTCTTGTCATTGATCCGCCCAAAAGCCCTGAGCAGCTTGCGGCTAGGTGATGCAGAGGCCTCGCAGTACGCGGACAAGGGGCGCAAGGACAGATGAAATTCCCCCATGTACCAAGCTGTCCAATGCTCTTCTTTTCAAGTCTAGCGCGCTTGTGTTTCACCAGGGGGCGCTGTCTGCGGCAATGGCACAAGCTGCGCGGATGCAGCCTGGGAAGGCATCGTCAAGGCGATTCATGCGACACCATCCTACATCGCGTAGGAACCAGCTTAGTTCCGAAGATTTTTGTACAAGGTCACAAGCAACAGGCGTTGCTTTCAATGAGGGGCGGATGCATGTATATGCATTTAGAGTACTCATAGTTTTTATCTATTTATTATTTTTAGTTATTTACATTTTTACATGGATCAGGAAGATGCAACGCTGCTTCCTTGCCAGCAAATTCCTTGGAACCTTTCTGGTTTGTCAACCATTGCGACTAGGTAGCTGCAACTTGCATTGAACTTGCTGGACTTTCCTTTCCGCTAGGCCAAATTCAAAGCAGGAAGTACGAGTTCGGCTTGAGGCGAAGAAGATTGATGCGCCTTATGCTCAGGATTTTCAGCACGTGTCACAGTTTTTGCAGCAGAATCATTGCAACAGAAGGCGCGTTCAAAAAATTAAAGCCAGCCGCGGCCTTCCTTTAGCGTGTCCTTGTGGAATGGCCCCTTAAATCCTCTTGACTTGGTGATATTGCCGGAGAGTGCAGACAAGTCACGTACCAAGCTTGACATAATCTAAAAACGAATCTTCTCCAATACGACAGTCCGACGTGTCAGGCCAGATTCAATGAGCTTGGATGACTATGTGGGACTTTCACAAGATGGATCGGCGGTACGCTTCCTTCAGGCAGATTTATTTAGCGCGCGTCGATTTCAGACATGCACTGCTGCGACTCCTGCAAGCTTTTGTGAACCTAATTCCAGAGATGCCCAAAGGGCGGTGATTCTTATGTCCTATGTCTTGAATGTAAATTCGGAAATTGAGAATAAACAAAGAAATAAATACCAGTAGTACCGCACAAGGCGGTGGCGGAAGTTTCAAAAATAGGAAACCTATAGGAGAGCTTGGTTGTTGTGAATCACGGATGGCAGAGCGAAGCCACTGATGGATCGAAAGGTGATTGATGTCTCCTCTCTTTCTCTCTCTTTTTCTCTCTTTCTCTGATTATCTACCTACCTACCTACCTACCGATCTATCTATCTTTCTTTCTCTCTCTCTCTCTCATCTGTCTATCTAACTATCTATCTATCTATGTATCTATCCATCTGTCTATCTATCTTTCCAACCATCCATCTTTTCTATCTATCTATCTATCTATCTATCTATCTTGAGTTGCCCGTGTTTGGCTTAAGACTGGTGGTGGGGGGGTCCGGAGGGAGGGGGGGGGTGCACGGCAAGGTGCTAAAATTTCAAAAATAGGTGCTCAAATTTAGGGAAATAGGTGTTTTTTTGAAGAAACCCAGTCGGGATCCAGTCGGGACCCAGTCGGGACCCAGTCGGGACCCAATCGGGCACCATTTTTAGCATTTTTGGGCACCGCTTTTGGCCAGTCGGGATCCGGTCGGGATCCAGCCGGGCACCAATTTTCGAATTTTTGGCACCACGTTTGGACCTGTCGGGAAGCAGCCAAATCACCCAAAAACGCGCAAAAACCCTGCAAAAATGCTATTTTTTATGCGTTTGGCTGCCTCCCGACATTGGTGCCCGACTGGATCCCGACTGGATCCCGACTGGCCAAAAGCGGTGCCCAAAAATGCAAAAATTGGTGCCCGACTGGGTCCCGACGGGATCCCGACGAGATCCCGACTGATCCATAGATCGGCAAGAACCCACTCCCGCACCTATTTTTCCCTTCCCAGACCCACCCTTGCCCCTATTTTCCTTTTCCGCGCACCAGCCGTGCACCAATACCCCCCCCTCCTGCACCAAAACGGCAAAAGCAGTCTTAAGCCAAACGGGGGTTCTACAATATCTATCTATCTATCTATCTATCTATCTATCTCTCTCTCTCTCTCTTTCTAGCTATCTATCTATCTATCTCATCTGTCTACCTGACTATGTATCTAGCTATCTACCTATCTACCTATCTACCTACTTACCTATCTATCTATCTATCTATCTCTCTCTCTCTCTCTCTGTCTGTGCGTCTGTCTATCTACCAGTCTATCTGCAAGCTTGAAAACCTAGCTATTCTGCGAGACGTCCTCAAGTTTTGAACTTGGCAACGTCAAAAACGCAGCAATTCTGCGTGATTTCCTCATTTTTCAAAGTTGACAGACAACATCAAAAACGAAACAATTCTGCGAGACTTCCTCATTTTTCGACGTTGACAACATCAAAAACGAAACAATTCTACGAGACGTCTGCAATTTTTGAACTTGACAACATCCAAAACGGAGCAATTCTGCGAGACTTCCTTCAAAAATAGAAAGTTAAGTGCGGCGCTGACAGCCTCGTACCAATGCGTTTTGCGATTTTTCCACTTCACCTGTCTAAATAAAGTATTGCGCCTACCAGGAAAAATTGATGCCAGGTCATACGAAGTGCTGCGCCTGCCACGGAAAAAGCATCTTTGCAGATCCTCTTCAAATGCACCACGCCTGCCATGGTTTTTGAAAATGCGACAAAACCTTCACGTTTTGCTCACTTTTGACCAGGTGCACAACCCCTGCGCCTGCCATGCGAAACGACATCTGAACGTCCAAAAGTGGCGCGAGCATCTGGTGCTTTGTACATTTTGACTTCGAAATGTGCTTCTCGCCACAAAAGCGTGCACTTTTTCGACATCTCAACTTCCAAAAGTGGTCCGACCCTGGTGTGTTTTGTACATTTTGACTTCGAAATGTGCTTCGCGCCACAACGGCGTGCACTTTTTCGACATCGCAACTTCCAAAAGCGGTCCGAGCGTGAGGTGTCTTTAGCTTTTTCACTTACAAATGTGCTTCGCGTCACAACGGCGTGCACTTTTGCATCTCTCATCTGGCCAGATGGCTCCGCACCGGCCGCTTTAGCAAGCCTACTTTTCGACCCTCCGGAGCCACAAATCATTGGAAAAACATAGTGTTTCGCGACTTTCCTACCTTTTCGCGCATCTGCATCTTCTTTCTTCTGACTCTTTCTCTTCTCTGATCTGCTCTCTTCTACTCTTCTCTTCTCTCTGCCTCTGCCCAGCTCTGCTTTTCATCTGTCCATATTGTCGGAAGTTTGACTTCTAAACTTCCTTCGACAATATTTTTTATTATATTTATAGTTATACGTGTTTACTGTTTCAATATGCTTTTATTTACATACATACATGCATGCATACATACATACATGCATACGAATTCGGCTCAGCAAGTACCCTTTGACACGAGAAGTGCCCAGCGCGCGCAGGGGGATGCTTCATTATGTTTCATGTGATTAGTTTATTGAATAATTTCGTTGACGCTTGCCGTTTGGGTTGCTGCACAGGAGGCCGCTCCGGAAGAAGAAGCGCTTGGCTTCACAGCAGCAGTTTGGAAATAAGGGCAGGGCTAGCTGGAGTTGCTCCTTACTTGGGGGGCATGTGCTTGGATTACAACAGCTTTCCCTAAAATATAACTTGGGCAATGGGCGACGGCTGTCAGCGTGAAACGGCCAGGGTTGCTGTTAGTTCTGGAGATGCAAAGGTTTCTGGCATCAACCTTAGGATTGAGCGTGCCCCAGATTCGAGCACAGCCTGCAGGCAAGATGCGCCGGTGAGAAAACGCTTATAGACACCTCAAGACGCTCTTTCGCCTTGTGCGAGGGTTTTCCCTCCCAGTTTTGCAACCCATTGCCGCACGGTTGCCGTTTTGTTCTTGCATCATGGGCACGCGCAACTTTTTCATCAATGCGCATGGTCTTCTCCTGTCTTTGCGCTATACCAGTCGTCTGGCCCTTGCTGCATGTTTCGTGTGCCCAGCACGTTCTATATCCGCTGATTGTTGCTTGTTGATGGTCTCATCACTTGCTGGCACGCACCCTGCACATCGATGCTTACGGCGCCTTTTTTGGTAGACCACGCTGTGTTTGCCTGATTGGTACTACATGGCGCTGTGCCATTGGGTTTGTGACTTTCTGCTGTACCACAGGTTGGAAGTTGGGTAGGCCAGGCATCGCGGAAATTCGCACAGGGGTCATCAGGGGTCGCAGGTGCCCGGTTTTTCCCCCGAGAAGGTAACTTGACATCATTTCCGCGCGCCATAGTGGTTGAATGTAGGGTTAAGCCGCGACCATGCACACCAGAAGCTGGACAGGGTTGGCCAGCGCGTTCTCCATGCCGCTTTTTTTCGCGCCAGCTTCAGTGCCGGATGCGTATGATACGGAATTTGAGCACCTCTAAGGCGACCAGCCGGTTAGTTTTGAACTGCACGCGTGCGTTAAGTTTTTTTAATCTGCGTTCAAGCCGCATCTGAGGGCAGGCTGTCCCTCTCTGCATGTCTCTGCTCTGCCGCGGAAACGTTAAAGTGAGGCTGCCAGATTCATCCTGCAGGAATCGCATTTAGCCTTCATGTCTGCGAGGGCATCTGAGCAAAGACCGGTCCTACAGCTGCCTCGGTTGCTGTATATCACGCTTATTGTGGACCAACAAGCATTGATTGAAACAAAGCTTTCGCTCATGAACTGACTGCGCAGCGCTCGATTGCAAGGAAGGGTTGAGGGAGCAACTTGAAAGAATTCTATTGATGCAGGGCTGAGAGTCATGAGATGGAACGCGCGAATCTTAAGTAGTCATGCAGCAAAGCAGGGTGAACATATTCGCAGCATTTCGCAGCACTTCACATCAAGGAACCACCCGCGCCCCTCGACTGCTTCAGGAAAATCGAGGTCTGAAGTTTGATTGCGCGCGCGCGAATTATAGCGTCTTCTGCGCCCAGGGCTCTGGACATCGCGATTGCTGGCGCGATTTTCACGCCATTTTATCATATATAGTTTATTTATTGCAATCACCTAGTAGGGACTTTCACGTCGCGATCAGTTTATAAAGGCAACTTCTTCACGCGTGACTGCGCATGTTATTGTTCTGATCATCTAGCAACGGCACCTTGCATGATGGAACATTCAAGCTTGCTTGTTCATATTCAGGCAGGAGTGCCGGCGATGCTTCAGACCCCCCCTCTCCTTCCTCAGGTTGGTCTGGGCCACTGGCCCCCAAAAAATGATGTCAGGAAGAGTACCAGTCATGTCGTGTAGCTCGACAGTACGGTGTGAAGGAAAAGATGTACTGTACCGATGTGCAGTTTGCGCATGCATGCCACATACGCATGCAGGCTGGAGCCATGGTCATCAAAGCGAGGTGGCAGCACGATCTTCAAGAACCGCAGGTGCGGCTGCTATTCGGGCTCCAGCAAGCCGGTCTTCAAAAAGAAATGCCCTTCTTTTTGAGATGCGGCGGCCACTTGCGCACACAATGTCATGTTACCATGTGGGCTTGCTAAAGGTGAAAAATCGAAAGCAGAGGAACTGAGGAATTCCCCACATGTCATGAACAGAAATCGGACATTAGATTGACAGGTTCAGTTCTAACCACGCGCCCCAGAGAGTGCAAGCCCATGCCGCTCGCACTGCAAGCCAGATTTAAACAGGGACCAATCACAGATAAGACCGGATCAACTTACATAGTCACACACTTGCATTTTTATTTGCTGGCAAGGCAAGGCAATGTTTGGTAGACGTTGACAAAGTGGCATAAGAAACCGTTGAGGCTGACTGCCAACCAACTCTGTTTCCAATACCTAGTTTTTGGTTCTTGCATCTTGCGGTTGCAAGTCATATGTTTGAAACGTTGAACCAAAATGTCCGGCTCAAGCACCCCCTGTATCCAAGCTTAGCGCAAAATCAAAAATTCGAACATCCTTCCAAACATGGCGGTATCCTCCTGTGATGAGTTGGAGACAATTTCAGAAACGCTGATCAAGGAAGGAGATGAAGCGGCTGATTTCCTGGTGCTTTACGACAAGCCCACTGAGGAACTTAATGAAGAGCTCAAGGGCAAGATGACTGACCTGCAGGACACTATCAAGCGCCTCTCTGAACTTGGCCTCTCAGGCCATATATGGACGAACGATGACAATGCCACCCAGATGAATTGTGCCCGAGACCACTTGCTGCCATTGATGAAGGAGACAAGGTACGCACCATCTAGGATGGCTCCGTGGGGGGTGCAAACCAGCATATCCGAAACCAGACAATGGAGAGGACAACGGGTAGGGCCTTCGCACCACCAACAATGGGTCCTCTTCAACCGACGCGTGAAGATCCTGCCACGCGACTGGAAATACCAAGTGGCGTAACTCCAAGAAGAATGGTGGGTCAACAAGGGCGGAACTTATAGCATGGCCAGTGCCCAGCTTTACTGGGGAAGAACCGCAGCTCAAGATCTTTCCTCAGATTGACTGGGGCTTTGTCTTTGTGGGTGACTTTGGCTGGCTTCTCCGAATGGATGGGCGAACGACATGACCACATCCCTTCTAGCCATCCTGGCGGCTTGAACACATGGTTGGGCTGGTTGGGCATCATGATCCATCCCAACCTACCGCAAAATCAGATGACAACCCCAAAGCACACCCTGGTGCTTGAGGTCCTGGAGCTCCTGATCCAGAACGCAGCCATGACTTCGAAAGCCATTGACTGGGAAGGCAGCAATGCGAGTGCTTCGGACTTGGGGGCTGTCAGACTCTCAGGACCCGGCCAGACACTCAGCATACAGTCCCAGTTTCCCTGGGCTTTCAAAGCTGGGAACCCCAAGAAGAGAATTAGAGCCGTGGAATTGCTCGGCACTTTAGTGCTGACACACTGCATGTTGAAACTTCAAGGTAAGACTGCTGCTTCTGCTGTCAGGATCCCAGTTTGCAGTGATAACCAAAGCAACGTATTCTCGCTGCGGAACCAGGCATCGAACAAACCCCACACTGCAGCCGTTTTGATGAAATTCGCGCTGGCTGCGCTCTGGCTCCTTGCCATGTACCTCGAGAACAAATCCAATGGGCGGATGTTCTCACACACCCACCTGCTCTAAGGTGGCTTCTCGGCAGAGCTCTTTGTCGATGTGAGTGGCATTTTTGGGGATTTAACATTGTTGTTCAGGTGGGTTGCCCTGTTCCCTCCTCACCTCCCAGGCCAGGTGCTGCCAGCCCCGACAAGGGGATGGCGGACATTTCGACCTGGTACACCTGGTTGATAGTTTTTGAACTGTACAGACACAGATTAGTCCCAGCCTGCTGCAAAGCAAACTTTCGCTACAGTTTCGTGCGCTTTTTTGCGGCGACTCTTCCTTATCGAAACCCGCGACCGCAGAAACAGAGACCCTATAATACATAGCGACCCCGCGGGCCACCACCATACCCGAAAAAAAACTTGGACCTGCGCACATCCATGGTTTCACAAGCGCATTCACTTGTTCCCGGGCTGCGGGGATTGCCGTGACTGAAAGACTGACAATGGCTCCGTAACTCGCAAGTTTGCAAACCGAACTTCCTGTGACCATTTCGCTAGATGGAAAAAATTGATTTTTTTGACCATAGTAAAGAACCCCAATCTAGTGTGACCTTGGTGGGCCATGTGAGAACGGCTCTGAGGCTCTCGGCGAGGGCAAAGAAGTATTTCAATGGTCACTTGGCTTTCTGATCTTTTTGCAACGCTTAATTTTCGGAGCCAAACGTGAACAATTTTTCTCAGTGCGTAGCGAGGGGTTCTCGTTTTACTTTGTGGTCCAGGGCTTGAGGCATGTCCGCCCGACGATGCTTTTGTGTCCGCAACGGTCGGCAACCGTCCGCTGCGCGACCGCGGTGGGGTCACTATGAGCGCTGCAAAAACGGTCATTAACACCGTTTCGTGTGGCAGGCCCGGCACTTTGCGACAGTCCAACATGTTTCCTAATACAGTAGCGTGTCAAAAAATCGTTCTGTGTGACAGGCGCGATACTTTTTCAAAGTTTTCATGGCAGGCGCAGCACTTTGGAGACCTCAATTTCAATTTTGCATGGCAGGCGCAGCACTACACTCCACACTTTAAACTTTGCACTCCACACTTTACACTTTACGCTCCAGACTGTAGACTTTACACACTACACTCTACGCTCTACACTTCAACACTTTACACTCTACACTTTTCATTCTACACTTCGCACTATACACTTTGCACTCCACACTTCACATTGGACACTTTACACTCTGCACTCTACACTTCACACTTTACACTTTACACTCGGCACTTTACACTCTACACTTTTCACTCTACACTTCACGCTTAAACTTCACACGCTACACTCCGCGCTACTTTTTGCATTCCGCGCTCCACATACACTCGGCGCTTCACACTTTACACACTACACTTTACACTTGGCACCTCACACTTTAAAACTTTACGCTCCACCTGTACACTCCACACTTTATACTCTACACTGTACACTTGACACCCCACACTCCACACTCTACACTTTACGCTCTACACTTCACACTCTACACTTTACACTCTACATTTTCCATTTTACACTTCGCACTTTACGCTTTTCACCCCACACTCTACACTTTACACGTTATACTCCAGACTTTACACATTATATACACTTCACTATCCACACGCTACACTTTATATACACGTGGGCAGTTCCTCTACCATGAAGAACGGGCCTAAACTTAAAATTTGGCTTTCTCCAATTCTGGACTGGTGCGGCCACATGTGTGGCAGCATGTGTATGCCACATGTGGCAGTGTTGTTCTGCCATGTGCTTCTTCAATCTGGCAAAGCCTTTTTCGGCAATACAACGGATTTTTTTCAGAGTTTTTGGTTTGCTTGCGGAACATGTTTTTGGATGTTTTAGGTTTGTTTTTTGTTTTATTTTGCATGTGCCTGTTTTTTCTCGGAAAGCCTCGTCCTGAAGTGGCAATGTGGTATCCTGATTGTATCCTGTGCGTGGCAGGTGTTTGTTTCTTTTGTGGCAGTGTCGTGTGTCGTGTTTTGTGTGTGGCGGGCGTGCGTGTCTGACTTGGCATTGCGGCGTCTTCCGTTTGACGAATGTTGGATTGCAATGCACTTTGACATGGCAAAATTGCGTTTTGCTGTGCATGTCTGGGCTAGCAAGGGTGAGCCGCGCCCCTTTGTGCAAGGGTTCAATTGAAAAATATTGAAGCAATTTCCACGGGGGGTTCAAGTTATTTCCATTTGAGTTGGCAATGCCAGCGTGGATTGAACATAAAAATTGTCAAAAAATGCAACGGGCACATTTGGATGGGTTTTGAAAAGTAAATGCACTGACTTCCCACAGATCCCAAGAAAATTACACAGTCAAGAATAGTTCTTGGCGAACACTTTTAGACTTGGAGCGGTTTTCTGTTTCAATTCATGGCAAACCACCATAAGGTCATCTAGCGGCTGGCATTTTTTTCATTTGCCAAAAACTACTTCCGGTTGTGTAGGCTTTAGAATTGGGCAAAGAAAACACAACTTAGATTTGACATGATTTGACTGGCAACCAACTACTTTTTGAGCACCTTGGAATCAAACTGCACAAGACCGAAATCAGAATGATTCAGAATGGCAAAAACATTTTAACAAAACCAACACCAGCGGGCCAAAAAAAAAAGCACCATAGCCAAACCTGCTAGCCGAAAAAAAATACGCTGAAGAAAACCAAAACCTGTGCAGTAGGGAAAAACCATTTGAGCGCGACCAATCCAAAATCAGAGAGGCAATAAAACAAAATCCCCGTGGCAGAAAACCCAAATCGTCGTGGCAGAAAACAAACATCTGCGGAAAACACGAATATGCGTGGCAGAAAATAAACATCGGCGTGGCATTGCGTGGCAATCTGCGTGGCAGAAAGCAATCATCTGCGTGGCATAAAACAGAAATTTGCGTGGCAGAAAATCAGACGGACCTGCCATGCACTGCACGTGCGCAGGAGTGGCGCGGGGCAGAGAAGTGGCAGAACGGTCTGCAACACCGCCCCTACGCACGTGGCAGTGCGCGGCAGCCGGCACTGCCATGCCGCTCTCTCTGCGCCGCCTCCGCCACAGATTCTGCCACGCCGATTTTGTTTCCTGCCATGCCTATGTTTGATTTGCCACGCAGATGTTTGTTTTCTGCTACGTGGTTTTTGTGTTTCTGCCACGCAGATTTTCGCTTTATGCCACGCGATTTTTAACTTTCTGCCACGCAGATTTTTGCTTTCTGGCACGCAATTTTTCTCGAGAGCGTCTGAGCGAAGGGTTATTCTAATAACGGGGGTCTGTCAAACATCCTCACTTCCTCACATCTTCACATCCTCACATCTTCACATCTTCACATCCTCACATCCTCACATCTTCACATTCTCTCTTGCCCCCTTGCTCTCTTGCCCTTTTGCTCTCTTGCCCTCTTGCTCTCTTGCCCTCTTACCCTCTCCTTCTTTTCTATTTCTCTCTTAAGGCGCGGGGCAGTGCCAACGAGACGGCACGAAACGCAACCCTTCGCACGAAACGAGGTTCGATCGCCAAAAACTGAACTAAAATTGCGATTTTGAGTGTGCCGCGAGAACCTTTTCGTACGAAATGAGGTTTGATCCCCAAAAACTGAAGGTAGAATTGCGATTTAACAACCTCGGCGGCAACGCTTTCGCACGGAATGAGGTTCGATCGCTAAAAACTGAGGCAAAATTGCGATTTTGCAACCTCGGCGGCAACCCTTTGGCACGAAATGAGGTTCGATCGCTATAAAAATCGAGGCCTCGGCGGCAACCCCTAGGTTCGATCGCTAAAATTGAGGTAAAATTGCGAATTTAAAGTGTCCGCGACAACCCTTTCGCACGAAATGAGCTTCGATCGTTGAAAACTGAGGTAAAATCGTTCTTCTGTGCGTAAAAATGTCTGTGTGTAGAAGCGTCTGTCTGTAAAAGCTCCTGTGTGTAAAAGCTTCTGTGTGTAAAAGCTTCTTTGTGTAAAAGCGTCTGTGTGTAAACACGTCTCTGTGTGTAAAAGCTTCTGTGTGTAAAAGCGTCTGTGTGTCAAAGCTTTTGTGTGTAAAAGCGTCTGTGTGTAAAAGCTTCTGTGTGTAAAAGCAACTGTGTGTAAACGCGTCTGTGTGTAAAAGCTTCTGTGAGTAAAAGCGTCTGTGTGTAAAAGCTTCTGTGTGTAAAAGCAACTGTGTGTAAACGCGTCTGTGTTTCAAAGCGTCTGTGTGTAAAAGCAACTGTGTGTGTAAGTAAAAGCTTCTGTGTGTAAAAGCGTCTGTGTGTAAACGCATCTGTGTGTAAAAGCTTCTGTGTGTAAAAGCTTCTGTGTGTAAAAGCTTCTTTGTGTAAAAGCGTCTGTGTGTAAACGCGTCTGTGTTTCAAAGCGTCTGTGTGTAAAAGTGTCTGTGTCTAAAAGCTTCTGTGTGTAAAAGCTTCTGTGTGTAAAAGCTTCTGTGTGTAAAGGCTTCTGTGTGTAAAAGCTTCTGTGTGTAAAAGCTTCTTTGTGTAAAGGCTTCTGTGTGTAAAAGCTTCTTTGTGTAAAAGCTCCTATGTGTAAAAGCTTTGTCTGAGAGTTTCTCGTGCACAGTCGTTGGTGAACAAAGCCGATGATTGCTTTTGCGTATTTGCGTTCTAGTTGCCTGGACCTAGAAGCATTTCTCAGCACCATGTTTAGGTCACGAACTTCACCCCCCTTCGGATTGCTGAGGTGGCCACGGCAACGATGACTTCGCTATGAGTGTGTGTGTGTGTGTGTGTGTCCTGGTGTCTGTCTGCGTCTCTGTTTGTGCGTCCCGTGTCTGTCTCTTTGTGTGCGTGTGTGTCTGTGCCTGTGTGTGTGTGCGTGTGTATGTGTCTTCCTCTTTGTGTGCGTGTGCGTGTGTGTCTGTGCCTGTGCGTGTGTGTGCGTGTATGTGTCTTCCTCTTTGTGTTCTGTTTGTGTGTGTGTGTGCGTGTGGTGTCTGTCTGTGTACCGTGTGTGTGTGTGCGCGTCTGTGTCTGTATCTTTGTTTGTGCGTCGGTGTGTGTGTGTATGTGTTTCTTTGCTGTTTGTCTCTGTCGGTCTCTCAAATTGCATCTATCTTTGTCTACTTCTGCTTAGAATCTGACATAGCATTTCTATCTCCTTTCTGCTGATCATCTGCATCATCTTCAATGAAGCTTTCACCTAGAATGTCTTTGATACTACTTACAACAGAGTAACATGCTCTTCTACGCTCTCGGGCCATCCATCGTCTAGTTTGTGTTCTGCCACGCAGATGTTTGCTTTCTGCCACGTTTTTTGCAACACAGATTTTTGCTTTCTGCCACGCATTTTTTTGTTTTCTGCCACCCAGATGTTTGTTTTCTGCCACGTTTCTGCCACACAGATTTTGGTTTTCTGCAATTTTGTTTTTAATGCCTTTCCGATTTTTGGTTCTCTGACACGGCCAGTTTGGTTTTTTGCCGCACCCATTTTGGCATCCTCTCACACTTAGTTCGGTTTTGGGCTATGGCAATTTTGGTCATCTGCGAGGCAACATGTGGATGACTGCGCAATAGAAAACAGTGCAAACATCTACATTTTCGGTGCCGTAATGTTGTCATATTGAAGCCTTGGCTTTTGGCTTCCCACCGGGATGGCCCTACAGACTTGGACCTTGAGATGATTTAGATACTTTTCAATGAGATTCCACAAAAACACGCGGAATCAACATTTAAAAGGTAACCCGGTTACCCGCCTGTTGCCCCCCAGCCTGCTACTGCCAGTCCATTCAAAGCTTCAAAGAGTCAGATACTCATTTTACTGATTGAAGAAAAACAGATATTTCGGGGAAAAACGGTTCATGAAAGCTTTACTACCGGCTGCGATTGCGTGGGACTATTCAGCCCTTCTCTTACTAGCTTTCTTGTATTCAAATCGCTGTTGACATTTATTTTCGGGCCTGGTTTAGAGGCAACAGGTCGCAACAGGTCCCATTGTCAAACCACATGTCCAAACAGCATGAAGAGTGTGAGTGAATGAGCAGGCATTGAGGACCGAGTGGGAGTGAGTGGCTTTAGTTCAGTGGTGTGGCACTGACAGGCTGTAGCGTGGCAGTAAAAGGTTCCTAGTGCGAGAGGGTGCGGCAGTAATAATTATATAGGTCTTTGCGTGGCAGTAAAAGCGTCGAAAGTGGCAGAGGGTGTGGCAGTGATAGGCGTTTTGAATGATTCAGCGTAACAGAAAGTGGCTTCCAGGAGGACAAAGAGTGCGGCAGTGCAAACTCTGTTGCTAGACATTCCGCGCGCCGAAATCTCGAAGTGATTCATGGCAGGGGAACCTGCTAACTTTACACTTTACACTTTACACTCCGCACTCTACACTGTACCCTCTACACTTTACGTTCCACATGTTACACTTCACCCTCCAAATTTTACACTCTACACTCAACACTTTACACTCCACACTTTACACTTTACACTCCGCAGTCTAGACTCTACACTCTACACTTTACACTCTGCGCTCCACACTCTACACTTTACACTATACTTTACACTTCACACTCTATATTTTACACTCTACGCTTTACACTTCACACCTTACACTTTACACTCCATACTCTGCACTTTACACTTGACAACCCACGCTTTACACTTCACACTCCACACTCTATACATTGTGCACTTTACACTTTGCAGTCCGCATCTTAACACTTCCCACTTTACAATCCGCACTTCACATTCCACAATCCCGCGCACACATTCTACACACGTACATTCCCCGCGCAACGCTCCACTATCTTCACGCTCCACACTTTGCACCCCTCCCTATGGTCACAGTGGAATATATAAGGCTATTGAAATAACTTGTTTCACAAATTTGTTTTTCGTGACTGCATTCGGGTTCGTTGGTTGGTCTTGTTTGGCTATTCGGGCTGGATTATCTGGATTCGGTATCAAGCTGGGTTGCGAGGTGCCTCTTTGCGCTAAAGAAGCGCCTGCCACCAACTGTCCGGCCCAAAAGCCACTTTCCAAATCGGGGGACGTTTGCACAGCCCGAGCCGAAGCATGCTGGGTTCCAGTGCGTTTTGTTGATACTGCCGTGGTGAACACCGCCACCTGAAGCTTTCTAGGCTGCCAAAATGCAACGCCTACAAGGGTTGAGCAGCGGAGCAAAAAGCTTCTAGCATTGCAGTCAAACGGCCGTGTGGTCCAAAACTATATGACAAGCTGTGGCATCCTGCGTCCATTTATTTTCCCACCAACAAAACGCCCAGGATAGCAGAGTATGGAATTCAAGCAGACGTGCTGCCACCGCCTTGGACAAAGCACTTGGACTGTGGCACGGGATGCGCCGCCTGCTTGCACCAAGTGAAACGGACGAAAACGCTCGTTGATGCCAAGCTCAAGTCCTTCAACTCTGGTTTCCCTTCCGTTTGGGTGCCTGAACAATTCTTGGATAAGGGATATGTTTGGCCCCTTGTGTCAAAGGAGGGTTACACTGTGTCACACAGATCCAAGTCTCAAGGAGCTCAATCCCGCCGCTTAGACACAGAACGGCGTTTCTTTGGTCATGGCCGCTTCAACTGTTGCACTGAAGGTCTACTTTGTTGACTCTGAGACTCAGGCGCTCGAGTTTGCATACCTGTTGCCCAAAGGGCCCGCTACCATAGCTACCTTTATTAGTCTGAGTTTAGCAGGTTGGCACATGAAAACTGTCCAAGGGCATCCAACAAGCCGCAAGTCTTGTCATGTTTCCGTGACGAAGGCCGCCACATGGGAGTCTCCGCTCATTCCATGCTTGCAGCGTGTGCTTGGCCTGGGCCGTCGCTACCTGGAAAGCCCTTCCGAGGAGAGGTTGGTGCTTTAGAAAGGTTAGATTCGGTTAGACAAGCCAAAGTTTGAAAGGCGAAACCATTTTGCACCTTGCGTTGAAAAAGGCAAAAGCAAAGGTTAAAGAACATTATGTCCGCCACATGGATATACTGATATACAGTATATGAAAGGCGAATGGTTACAAACAGGTTCTAAGCACAGAGAAATTTGGGATTGAGCACCATTTTGATTCTGCGAATAACTGACACGCTTGGCTGGCTTTCATTTTAGGATTTCTTTGAAGATGCGAAGTTGCAACTTTGGAGCAGGCTCAAGGCAGGTCATGACCGCAACCCTAAGGTGCACATCTTTCCTTTGATTGCTTTTCTTGTGTGGAATTGCGGTGGTGGCGCCGGACTCTCGAGCATGATTCTTAGTAAAGGCATGTGCAAGCTTAAAGTCAGCATGCTCGCTGCAGGCCGACTTGAACTTCTGGCATGGGCCGCTGGAAGGCCCGCCTCCTGGAATATGCTTAAATACGCGACAGGTGCTGAAGTATAATGCATCAACATGCAATAAATGCACCTGCGAGTTGCAAGCTTATCATTGCTCAAGATTTGCCACAGGCAGCTTTCTTTACCTTGCAGCTTGCTTCACAGGCCCAGAGGGCGAGCCATACTTCGCAAATTCACAGACTGGCCGGTCATCTTGGCGTGATCCAAGGGCACGGGATCCCAGAGCACGAGACGTTCACGGGAGCTGCGCATATCCATAGGTTTACGGGAAGCTTTGCGGGACAGCCTACCTATATATATATATATATACATGTGAAACTTTGCTAAACAGAACGGTTCTTGAAGGTGCTTTTGGCTTTATTGTTAGAAGGTCGGTAACCGCGCAATATATTTTTAAATTGCCGGTTGGGGAATCACGGCGGCGTCTTCGCTTGGTGCAATTCCGGAAAGCTGCACATGCTGCTGCGCAAGGTGTTGAAATGTATTTCGCATTTTTTGTGTTAGAATCGCGCTTGAGTAAAAATGTGCTCAAGCTATCAGCTTTCGGGCAGCAAGCACTCTAAGTTGTGGAAGTCAAAGCGTTTCAATGAAATGCGCGTCCTAGGTGAGGGAGAAATTCCTGGATGTCGGTGCGATGTTGCGTCCAGTTGGTGTTTAGCATGTTTGTGTTTTCTCCAATGAATGGTTTTATCGTGGGTTTTTCATGGATACCATCCAGATGGTTGTAGCATGTTGTAGCTATTCCCTTGTGCTTTGGGAGTTTTATCTTTGTAATAATGGAATTTGTACATCGTCTCCCCTGGAGTTGTCTCAGTTTTGAAATTGGTAACACGTTTAGTACGTAAAACAAAATGTTTAAATTGCGTTTTGCTTCAGTTTGGGCTCAAATATAGACAATCGAACATAGGTCATGGTGACCTGCTGCCCCATGCCTGGTGGTTCTTCTGCCCATGGCTTTGCTTTCTCTTTCCCAGACAGTTTTAGCCTTTAGACATCCTTGGCTATCACGGCTCCTACGTCTCAAACCGTCTGTGCCCGCTCAAATTTGTCACCGCAGCCTTGTTTGCCAAGCTTGCGTCCCTTTGTCTCCCCTATGTCTCCCTTACTTGCCCTTTGTCTCCTCTTCTGTCTCTTAGCTCTTGCCTGCAACTGCTGCTTGGCTTGGTTTCCTCTTCTGCTCCACCGCTGAAAGCTCTTGAGTTTTACTGTTCTGAAAAGACTGCACAAGCGTGTGGCTACCAAAGAGTCTGTCAGGAGACTCAGGGGGTCAGTTTCCGAAAATTTGATTTCGGATCTCGTTCGCACCTCGTTCGGACCTCGTTAAAATTGCAGCCAGTCAAAACCCAACCCAGAGAGGTTTTGGAAAGGCTTTGCAATGGTCTGCTGCTTGGTCTGCTGCTGCTGCTGTTGTTGCTTGTGCTGTTGCTTCTGAATTAGTCCACTTTGACCGTCGGTGTGCCAATAGGATTTCCACCTGGCGGAAGATTATTGATGTCTGACGTAAGCGGTGTGCCATGCGGCTGGCGCAAGTTCTAGAAAAGGGCGTAGGATCACGCCGGGGCTCGGGCCAGGGATGCTTTGCACGACTTTGGGAAAACCACCAGAAACATGCCTTCAGATTATTATTCACAAATATGTGGGAGACATGTGTAGATAAGCAAGCGTCCACATGGTGTTTAACACCCGTGGATATATATATATATATTTTTAGATTGTGGGACATAACTGTGCACACGCGCCCTGATGGGGATTTGGAAAATTTGGCAATAGAAAAGTGCACTGCCAGGGATCTAAAAATAAGACTTCTACATAGTGCGTCCCATGGTTGCATTATGTTGCATTATATAATTTGTTTGACTTCCTGAATGCGCGGCGCCCCATGCAGTTTTTACATGTTTTCACCTTGGTTCCACATATGCATTGACTTTCACGTCCCAGAGTAGGTGGCAGTTCCGGGTTCCAGGGACCGCCAGGTCTAACAGAGGCTTACAAAGCGTTTCGCTAGCGCAAAATCACCAAGCACCGCGCTTGCCAACTGCCAACAGGAAAGGCAGCAAAAAGTCGACGCAGAAATTCGATAAAGATAAGTTATGACAAACACATCCCGCCGGTGTGATTTACGAGCTCGCCAAATTAGGTTTCGCTCGCACAACGTTCTGCTTCACCACTTTTTTCTGCGCCTGGTTTGGCATGCTATTTCTTCACGTACACGCATCGGTGCACTGACACCTTCAGAAACAAATCGCATAAATGCGCGTAGTTATTTGCCACGCGCATGCGCGGCGTATGTCAAATACGTTTTGGGTTCAGGCAACGCAGAGTTAAGTTTGATAGGGATAGTTTGATAGAATTAAGTTGGAAGAAGGAGGGCACAGAGAAAAGGCATTTATACGCGTATGCCCAGCGAAGAAGTTTGATGGACGGAAGTTATGACAGAGATACTTTGAATTTGGTAAAGGAAGCCGATGCGGCGGCGTAGGCCGCAGGAAACATAGGCAGAAAGAACCAGGAACCCCACAAAAAGATGCGGGGGAAATCGGAGGCGACATGTAGGGTAGCATACCACCGCATACAGATTACATTTGCCACTTGCGCAACATATCAAAGCACAATCAGCCCACGGAGCAAATAAGAAAGAAGAATCTCCTTCTTGCAGCTTAGGCACAAGACAGAGTCAAGAAGCCCAACTGGAATTGATGTGTGAATCAGTGTGAATCAAAAAGGGGCCCTCCTCGTTTTAAGTTTTGGCCTGGGGTTCAAGACCGTTTTGATTCTACAAAGTGCATGTCGCGGGTCGGTTTTCAGGAGGCCACAGGGACGTCTAAAGTGAGACGAACGTGTGGGACCATATATAAATCCTGTAGCTAGAAGGTTCCAGAAGCATCCCTTTTCATATCTCTTTTAGGGATGGCTTTTGTTGGGCCCTATCTTTTTGTAAGAACCCACGCTGGCCCCAGCCAAACGATATTTTAAACTTGGCCCCAAAACCATCCTTGGAGTTTCATCCAGGATTGAAATGTCAGTTCCGCTGCCGGCCCGGTTTGACCACAGTAGACAGTAGAGACCGTTTGGCGCCTGTCTGTTTGCATGTTATTTTCTTGAAAAAAACATAAAACAGTAGAGCATGTAGAGCTGGCTCAGATGGTGTTTTAGCTTTTTAATGGTATACGTCGTTTGAGTCTGAAAATTGCAATACCTAAGCCACCTCAATTTAGTCTTGGTAAGCTTAGTTCTCTCATATGTTGATCATGATTTTCAACGGGAATCCAGCCAGTAGATTTTTTTTTGTGCGACCGTGAGGTTTTGAGTTGCATTTTGGTAGCTGCTATTTTTCGGGCCTCAGTAGAGTCATCCATTCAAATAAGCTGCCATATGTTCAGACACTGGAAGCTGCTGGAAATAGTTCAACTCCTGGTTGGTCACGGTTGGCAATTTCCACGATTTTCTTGGTGCCCGGGCACTGTGCACGAACCCAACAAGGTACAACTACTACAAATTCCTTTCTGTGCTTTGAGCAAAATTATCAAGGTCCAGGTCCACTGGAATGTCAAAAGATCACGCAATTTTATTTTGCAGTGTTTCAACTAATTTGCTTAACTTGGACACCCCCCTGCCGCAGCCCACAGAATGCCGTGTGATTAAAATTATCCTTGGGGTCTACAGGTGCCACAAACGCTATTTTCCTTGAGATAACATTGTCGAAGCTGTGGCGCGGTGCTGATACTGTCAAGGGGATGTTGCACAGATTTTTTTGACAAGGAGATCCTTTCTAGAGAGCCGGCAAAGAGATCTTCACAAGAATCTCTCACAGAGATCTTGTACAGTAACCTTGCATGCAGGTCTCTTGTGGAAATCTTCCTGGGAGATCTCTTACAGAGATCTTGCCAAGAGACATTTCAGACTGATATGAAGGGATCTTGCTAAGGGATCTCTTATAGAGACATCTTGTACAAAGATTTTGCATAGAGGTGTCTCGCATGGCGATCTTGTGCTGGGACCTTGCATAACCTTGCATAGAGATCTCCTATACGGATCTTGCCAAGACGTCTCTTACAGAGATCTTGTTCTAGAGAGCTTGAACAGAGATCGTTTTTGGGGATCTTTTCTTTGGGAATTTGCTAGAGGCCCCCTTCAGAGTGCGAAGATTTTTCCGAAAGACCTATATAGACTAGATAACTTTTACAGAGATCTTCCCAAAGGGACCTCTTTTAGACACCTTGCGGTAAAGATTTCTTACAGGGATCTTGCCAACTCTTCTAGAGAGCGTGTTCAGGTTTTTTTTTCCAAAGAGGCCTCTTTTAGTGATCTTGTACGGAGACCTTGACTAGAGATATCTTACACATATCTTACCAAGAGATCCCGTGCAGAGATCTTGCTAAGAGATCACTGTCAGAGAACTTAAACAGAGAGCTTGAGCAGGGATCTTATGTAGAGATTGTTTGCAGAGATTTTGCCAAGAGATGTTTTTTAGAGAACCTTTTCTGCGATTTTGCCAACAGGCCTCTTGTAGAGATCTTGTACAACGACCTTGCGAAGGGAACAAAAAAAAAGTATTGTTAAGAGATGTTTTTTAGAGAGCTTGAACCGAGATCATTCTTCGAGATCTCTTACAGAGATCTTGCCTGGAGGTCTCTTGTAAACACCTTGTAGAGAGAGAGAGAGAGAACTGGGGGCTCTTGCACACAATTTTCGACAGAGATCTTCACAAATGGAACTTGCAGAATCTACCATGACATCTCTTTGTCAGGTTCCTTGCAACATTGTTTGGGGCCTCTTGCCGGGATAATTTTTGCACAGCAAAAAAGATTTGGCGGCTAGACCGCATTTTCTCAGCGGCCATGGCCGCAATCGAAACCTAGCACGGCGTCAGTAATTTATGGGGCCCTGGAATTCGGGCCCCAAGGGGCGGGCTTCCACGCGGTTTTAATTTCGCGAGAAAGAGATACGCCCAGCTCCCTGTTTAAAAAAAGAAGCTAACCGTATTTTTGATTGTTTTGCCATCGTGCCACTTATGCCAGAACACCAGAAAACAGCCATTGCTTGCGACACGATTTCTCTAAGCAACATGTGCTTGCAACTAGGCGCGCGTCCTTGTATTGCATTGCTGCCATCACCATTGTCAACTTCATGCGCCATGCCGAGATTCGAGATGCGGTTGCCAAGGTGGACGCTCAGTTGCTCTTTGACTTGGAGGGGGGCTTACTAGATAGCCTGGCAGAGGCGCTGCCGCCTCCAGAGGAGCTCAAGGCAAGCTGCTTTTTGCCGCGGGTTTTCCAAAGAACTTGAGGAATTAGGGCTGAGACCGCGTTTCTTTCAAGCCAATGAAACAGTGTCCGGCGTTGGAAGGGAGGCTTGGGAATTTTAAGGGTGCTTTTCATGGAGGGAAAGCAAGGAGCACAATTGCTTGAAAGTAATGAATGCAGAACAGCATGGTAGAAGTCAAGTTCTTCAAACTTCACCACAGAGCTCAAAACCAGCAATTGATTGCGCAGGTGCCTTGTTTTGGGGGCCAAGAATTGAAAGCAGCACGGTTCTCAGGGTGAGGGGGAAGCGAATGCAAATTGAAAGGCCCCGCGTGTGCCAGGGCATTGGCAGCCCTTAACTCTTCAAACTTGTCAGTTGCTTATTTCAACGGTTTTTGGGTCACGGAGCTTCCATTTCCAGCATTCAAGCTGCGCGAGGGTGCTTTTTCTTCTGATGGCACGGGCTAGCCAAACCCGCAGAACATGGTGTGCTACGCGCATCTGGCTAGTCGTGCCGACGGCATGGGCCTTTCATTCCATGTTGCCGCTTCTTTTTGTGCCCCCTGCTTCCCCATCAATACAGCACGGCGCGAAAAAAGCGCAAAGAAACTTGCGGACCCCAGGCCCATTGCAGCCATTGGGGCCATGGGCTGCTTTGCTGACACCAGTGGCTGCACATGCTGAAGACCCGCAAGGAGGGGATTGGTTTGAGCCTTTCGTTGATATCAATGCCAAGATCATCGAAGGCATTGATGGGGTTGTTGGATCCGCCGGCTTTGCCATCGTGCTGTACACCATCATCATCAAGGTGGCAACTTTCCCGCTGCAGCAACCAGCTTTGCGGACATCAGCGCTAATGCAATTGCTCTCTCCTCAGACAGATGAGATAGAACGAAGGTATCCTCTCGATGAAGAGGGGCGGGGACGCACTCTGCGAGAGCTTTACGGAAAAGTTGGATTGAACCCTTTCGCGGCTTTCCTTCCAATTCTTTTCCAACTCCCAGTTTTCATCGCGCTCTTTCGGGCAATTGGCAAGTTGGCATCCCAGGATGAGCATTTTAAGGAGGGGAGCAAAACGGTAGGTTGCTGCCGTGTTGCGGAGGTATGCAGACATCGTTCAGTTCGTTTTGCCAGCTTCAGCCCAGACGTCAGGAGCCTTTCTTGTGGATCCCCAGCCTTGCAGGCCCAGTTGCCAGCGGAAGGCGCGCTGTTGTTTCAGCCTCAGCTATAGTGGTCTTGGGATGTCACCCCGCCCTGTATCTATAGTTGCCCCTTCTTGTGTCTCAGCGGCCAACAGCATGAATTCTAAGAAACTTGCATGGGCGAATTTGCTTGTGCATGCTTTTACATTCTGGGTCAGATTTTTAAACATGACACAGGCATGCTGAATCAACTTTGCTTCAATGGTTGCCGGTAGGCCAAGCCTAGACTGGCTGCTGAAGACTCGGTACAGCGACCATTTTGAGCCCTTGGTTGGCGGGGAGGCGGGCACATGTTGCAGGAATAACGGAATGCTTCAATCCTTGCTCTCTTTCACTTTTTTTTCGTGCCTGGGGTGAAAAGTTTTGTCAGCATAGAAATCAAATTATCGCCTTGGGGCAAGCTGCTGCAGGATGCTGGGTTCTACCTGGTTCTTCCGTTCTTGGTGTTCCTCCTTCAACTCCTTTCCAACAGGACATAAGGTTCGAACCGCTTCGTTCGAGGGAATGCCGTGGTGTTTGCACGTATTGGGCGAGGTATTCTTTTTAGCTACAGTCTTGCACTGTTGTTTTACATTTTGGCTCCAATATGATACATGGGAAGAGGTTTGGATTTGGTTTTGGAATGCAGCTTCCGAATTTGCGAAGAGAGATGGGCCGGAACCCTGAGAGGATGAGCGCTGCCTCGAAAGAGTCAATTTCTGCGTCCGTCCTTGCTCCTTTGTTTATTGGCATTTCAACTCTTGTGAGCCCTCAAGGCGTTGGCGTTTATTGGTTTACCAACACCCTTCTGACAACAGCGCAGCTGAAGTTCACGCAGAACCAAGTTGCTGCGGAGTTTCCAGAGTACAAGAAGATCAAAGATGCAGTTGATGCAGAGGGGGAAGGAATGAGATATACCAGGACATCACCATTTGTCAAGAACGATTTGGTCGAAAAGTCCGTCAAAGACTTGGAAGAGCCATCAGGAAATGTGGAGGTGAAGCCAGAATCTCGAAGCGCACGGCGCAAGAAGCGTGGCAAGTCGCGGGCTAGAAGTAGCTAGCTTTGTCAAAAGCCTTGGCAACAATTTTTTGGCGCAAGCAAAGGCCATGTGATCTGTGAAATTCCAGGAACGGTTCCCTTTCAATGGTCGGTTTTCTGCAAACCCCCTAGTTTTCAGATTGCTGCTTCACGCCATGTCCAAAGACAGAGGCAGAGCGTGAGGTTTAGCAGTGGCGAGTGGCATGACGCACGATTGTGAACGGACAGTTTAAAAGCGCGCAGGCTTTGCACATGCATAATTCACATCAAGCCTTCGCCCCCGCGCCTCTGCAGTATTCAAACCTTCGCTTCACTCGATGTCAGCATGCAACCAAGGCGTGCATTTATTCATCCATGGCAAATCATGGCGATATGCTCGTGCTTTAAGTTGACTTGTTCGCTTCAAATTCAAAATCCATGTGCCCGCGGGTGCTCACTAAGGCTGCTGCTGCTATGTGGCGGACGGAGACTGGTGCTGAGGCCCAAACAATGTGCACATGAGGGGCAGCTGCATGTGTGCGCAGACAGAATGAGAGCATATTTATTTTTAAACGGCCGCGCCCGGAACTTGTATACATTTCATTTCATGGCATGACGAACCTATTTGATTTTGTTTTGAAAACATGCAAAACCCCGTGTATCTTTACGGTTTTGCTTTTCAATGTTTTCTATGTCCTAAATCATGGTCTTACTTGGGGTTTTCGGTGCCCCACAGTTGCCTACGGATTTTAAAGCCTTATCTCCTCATTGACTGGAGCATTTCCGGGCGTCTTGTTCATGAAAGGTGGCGCCAATCTGCTTTAAGTTCTCAATAGTTCTCTGCTGGCTTCGCGCGCTAGTTTTCCTCTTTGTGGGGGTGTCAACTACACCCTTAATTTCGGTGACACACCAAAAGACAGCACCGCATTGCGCAACTCCAGTGTCCACGCTAACAGACGCCATGGGCGCCGACAGAGGACAGCACACAACACGCGGAAGTGAAAAGAATAGACGCTGATGCAACTCGAAAGGACCAGATCCGTCAAACGATTTTGCACACAACCCGTTACCAGACTGTGAGATGCCATCCTCGCCATCACAATAACAGCGCGACAGGGCACTGCACGCAACACTAGCAAGTGAGAAGAATATATGTTAATTGCGCAATATAGCGTGCCTAGAACAATGCAGCAGGGCTCAGTAGGGCCAGCTATTTTCCGTTGTTCTGGGGCTCCTTCTGTCATCCAGTCGAATCTGCTCAAACTCCATCAAACTCCACCATGTGGCCCCTACCTTTTCGGATTTTTGAAAAACAAACGACAAGCCCTGCTGCCGCTGATGGCTCCTCCTATTGCATCGCCCGATTCGCTCCCAGCTAGTCAAAGCAGTGGCACGGACGGCCGCCCACACTTCCACATCATAGCCCTCCCCTTGTTCATTGCCAAAAATGCCGGGAGCTGCTTAAACCGTCAACTCCACATTGCCTCTTGCGCAGCTACTTGCAAACCGACTGGGGGAACAGGACGGCACGTTCTCTTTGCCTAACTTACCTCTGCCAAAGTTATCGCCGCCCATTTTCCTGCAGTAATATCTGCAATTTTTGCCCGCTCCAAATCTATCCCCGTCAAAATTGCGCGCTGCCAAATTCATGCTAGCAAATTGATTCCGGCCATCTTCTTTGGCGCGGAATTTATCCTGGCCAAACTTGTCCCTACCAACTCTTCTGCGCCAAACTTGATTCCATCAAACCTGCCCGCGTCAAACTTACCTAATATAGCCGCCACTTCACATAAGCTTGCATAAGTCTCTGTCCTTGATCGTTAAGTTGCCAGTAGTACCGGACAAGGCTGCGGCGGAAGTTTCAAAGATAGGAAACCTATCACCTATCTATAATAAGAGAGGGCGGTTGTTGTGAATCACGGGTGGCGGAGCGAACCCACTGATGGATCGAAAGCTGGCTGGACTGTTGTTCTATCCATTTGTCTCTCTCTCTGTCTATCTGTCATTTGTCTATCTATACATCTGTCTTTCTATTTATTCACTTATCCATTTATCTATCAGCCTGCCTTTACCTCTATCAGTCTATCTACCTGTCTATCTATCTGTCTTTCTATCATTTTCTATCCACCTATCTGTCTATCTATCTGTCTCTCTATCTATCTGTCTATCTGTCTGTCTATTTGTCTATCGATCTATCCGTCTATCTATCTACCTAACTTCTATCTATTTTTCTATCTATCTATCTGTCTATCTGTCTATTGATCTATCCGTCTATCTATCTACCTAATTATCTATCGGTTTTTCCACCTATTTATTTGTCTATCTTTCTATCTGTCTATTTATCTGCTTGTCTATCTATCTGCCTATCTGTCTATTTATCTATCTGTCTATCTATCTGTTTTTCTGTTTGTTTATCTATCTGTCTATCTATCTGTTGTTCTGTCTATCTATCTATCTGTCTGTCTATCTATCTGTCTGTCTATCTATCCATCGCTCTGTCTATCTGTCTAGCTGCAAGCTTGAAAACGAAGATACTCTGCAAGATTTTATCAATTCTTGAACTTGACACTTGACAGCATCAAAAATGCAGAAATTCTGCGAGATTTCCTCAATGTTTGAACTTGGCAACGTCAAAAACGCAGCCATTCTGCGAGAATTCCTCAATTTTCGAAGTTGACAACATCAAAAACGAAGCCGGTCTGCGAGACTTCCTTCAAAAACTGAAAGTTGAGTGGAGAGCTGGCATCCTCGTACCAATGCGTTCTGCGATTTTTCCATTCCATCTGTCTCAAGTATTGCGCCTGCCACGAAAAAAGTGCGGCCCGGTCATACGAAGTGCTGCACCTGTCACCTGATGCTCCAAACTGCAACCGCTCTCAGGATATCAGCGCCCGGACCTTCTAACATATCTGACCCATGTGTCTCTTGTATTTCGCCTGCCACGCGAAATGCATCTTTGCACATCCTCTTCAAAAGCCCGACGCCTGCCAACGTTGTTGAAACTGCCACAAAACCCCCACGTTTTGCTCACTTTTGGCAGGGTGCAGAATCTCTTGCGCCTGCCACACAAACGACACTTCAACGTCCAAAAGCGGCGCGAACATGTGGAATTTTGGGCGTTTTGACTTCGAAATGTGCTTCGCGCCACAACGGCGTGCAGTCCGCACCTGCCGCTTTAGCCAGCCTACTTTTCGGCCCTCAGGGGTCCTCCGGAGCCACAAATCATTGGAAAAACATAGTGTTTCGTAGCCTTTTTACATTTTCGCGCGCCTGCCTGCATCTTCTTTTTTCTGACTCTTTCTCTTCTGTGATCTTCTTTCTTCTCTTCCACCTCTGCTTCTCCATCTTTCCATATCGTCGGAAGTTTGACGTCTAAACTTTATCGGAGGAAGTGCCATCGCTCAGCCACCTCCTCATGCAGGCGGTTAAAGGTTTTAGGTTCGTCGCAGCTGCTGATTGCCCTGGCATAGGTGCTGACCTTGGACAGCCCTGCTGGCGACCAGGTGAGCAAGATCGAGACGCCTTCAAATGGACAGGCCGCAGCTCTTTGCCCTGCCGCTGTATTCTCCAAAGTCTCTGGTTTCAAGTTTCCACACTGGCAGTGGCCAGAAACATTGGTGCCACCGCTGAGTGCTTTTTCGCTGCAGCCCACAGCTGCAGGTCGACCCGTGGCCTGCTCCGGATGATGCATTCAAAGGTTGCGACTGAGTAGTTTGATATCATGTGATGTGCGGTTACAGCTGGTTACAATGCCTTCGCTTTTTTTTAGCCGCAATGGATTTCTCAGGCGTCCTCTGTTGTCAGGCACCCCAACCCCAAGGATACCCAATCGATTGGCAGCGATTGCCATGCAGGACCTCTGCACATTGCTGCTTCTTCCAGTCAGTAGCTCCCTTGCCGACGCATGGATGGTTTACCTGACCCCGTAAAAGCGAATACACGGATTAGAATTTACTTGTCACAACGAGCGAGAGGAAAACTGTTCAAAAAAGAAAGCCAATCCGGTCAATCCGGACCCTTTCAGCCCATCCCCCATCGTTTCCATCTTTTTTCATTCAATCCTACCTCGCCCCAGCCCTAGTCGAACCAATAGTCTCCATTTCCAAATTTCCACTTCAGCTTCAATCATATTAGTTGCATTCCGTTGTGGGATGAGCAGTGGGAAAACAGGAGTGCAGCTTAGGGTCTTCAGCCATAGTAAAGGTTCCGGAGCAGGTCGGAGCAGCCAAATCCGCACGGCGCAAGGTTGGGAACCGGGTTCCCAGGAAGGGCTTCCTTTTCCAAGAGAATCCCTCGGAGCAGCCAAATCCGCACGGCACAAGGTTGGGGACCGGCTTCCCAGGAAGATGTTCCCAAGCAAGGTTCCCAGGAAGAGGTTTCCAAGCAAGGTTCCCAATGGTTCCCAAGAGGTTCCCAGGAACAGGTTCCCAAGCAAGGGTTCCCAAGCAAGGTTCCCAGGAACAGGTTCGAGAGGTTCCCAGCAAGGTTCCCAGGCAAGGTTACCAGGAACAGATTCCCAAGCAAGGGTTCCCAGCAAGAGGTTCCCAAGCAGGGTTCCCAGGAAGAGGTTACCAAGAAGAAGGTTTTCAGGAAGAGGTTCCCAGGCAAGGCCCCCAAGAGGTTCCAAGCAAGGTTCCCAGGATCCCAAGCAAGGGTTCCCAGGAAGAGGTTCCCAAGCAAGGTTAAGTTCTTAGGAACCGCTTGCAAGTACGGTTCCCAAAAAGGGTTCCCAAGCAAGGTCCCAGGAATCGTTTCCAAGCAAGGTTCCAAGCAAAACAAGGTTCCCAGAACAGGTTTTCAAGCAAGTGTTTCCAGGAAGAGGTTTCCAGGAAGAGGTGTCCAAGCAAGGTATCCAGCAAGCTGGTCCCCAAGCAATGTTTTCAGGAAGAGGTTCACAAGTAAGGTTCCCAAGCACGTTCCCAAGCAAGGTTCCCAGGAAGAGGTTCCTAAGCAAGGTTCCCAGCAACAGGTTCCCAGGAACAGGTTCCCAGGAACAAGCTCCCAAACAAGTTTCCCAAGAACAGGTTCACAAGTAAGGCTCCCGGAAAAAGTTCCCAGGCAATGTTTCCAGGGAAAGGTTCCCAAGCAAGGTTCCCAGGAACAGCTTCTCAAGCAAGGTTGCTAGGAAGAGGTTCTCAAGCAAGGTTCCCAGGAAGAGGTTCGCAAGCAAGGGTTCCCAGTTGCTCCTGGAAATTTTGCTTTGGAACCAGCTCTTCCTGGGAACGCTTGCTTGAGAACCTGTTCCTGCGAGCCTTGGTCCTGCTTGGAACCTTGCTTGGAAACGGTTCCTGGGACCTTGATTGGGAACCCTTTTTGGGAACCGTACTTGCAAGCGATTCCTAAGAACTTTAACTTAACCTTGCTTGGGAACCTCTTCCTGGACCTGCTTGGGAGCGTCTTCCTGGGAACTTGCTTGGGAACGTTTTTCCCCAACAGCGTGAGCTTGGTGTCTTCAGCCACCCCAAGAACAAAATTCCAATCAAATTTTCCAGGAACAGGTTCGCAAGCAAGGTTACCAGGAACGATTCCCAAGCCAGGTTCCAAGAACAGGTTCCGCAAGCAAGGGGGTTCCAGCCTTTAAACAGAGCAGCTTTTACACGCGCACACACACAGAAGCTTTTACACAGAGAAGATTTTGCACAGAAGCTTTTTCACAGACAAGCCTTTGCGGGAAGGAACTTTGAGCACAAACGGTTTTTACATACAGCAGCTTTCACACAGAGAAGCCTTTGCGCGGACCAGCTTTTACACTCAGGTTTGTTTTCACAGAGCAGCGTTTACGTGGAGCAGCTTTTACACACCGAAGCTTTGACGCAGAGAGGCCTTTACAGAGAGAAGCTTTTACGCACAGAGGTTTTCACACGGAAGCTTTACACAGAGAAGTTTTTACACAGAGAAGCGTCTAAACAGAGCATCTTTTATACAGAAGCGTCTAAACATTTACAAATCCGCACGGTGCACGGTTGGGAACCGGGTTCCCAGGAAGCGCTTTCTTTTCCAAGAGAATCCCTCGGAGCATCCAAGCAAGGTTCCCAGGAACAGGTTCCCAAGTAAGGTTCCCAAGAGGTTCCCAAGCAAGGTTACCAAGAAGAAGGTCTTCAGGAAGAGGTTCCCAGGCAAGGTTCCCAAGAGGTTCCAAGCAAGGTTCCCAGGAACAGGTTCCCAAGCAAGGGTGCCCAGGAAGAGGTTCCCAAGCAACGTTCTCAGGAAGAGGTTCCCAAGGTTACCCAAGCAAGGGTTCCCAGGAAGATGTTTCCAGGAACAGGTTCCCAAGCAAGGTTCCCAGGAACAGGTTTTGCAAGCACGGATTTCAGGAACCGCTTTCAAGGTTTCCAGGAACCGTTTCCCAAGCAAGATTTCCAGGAACATGTTTTTCCCAAGCAAAATAAACGGACCGGATAACCCCACATGTCAACTTCTTCCAACAAACAGCTAAAGAAAGGTAAAGATGGCATGGGGAAAGCAGGAAAGAGAAAAGAGATGGTGAAGGATTGGTGTGGAGGAAGTTGTGTGTGGAAGAGTAAGTGTGAGTACGTTGTGTGGTGATAAGTTGTGTGTGAGGTGTGTGTGATTGTGTGTGTGCGTGCAGAAGTTGTGACGGGGAAGGAAGGAAAGACAAAGGAGGTGGTGAAAAGGTTCGAGAAGTAAAAACAGTTGTGTGGATGAAGTTGTCTATACGTATATATGTATGCAGGTATCTATGTACCAGCCGCATGCACGTTTTTTCTCCACAGAACATGATGTTCAGGAACGGCAGCATCTGCGCAATGAAGAGTGCCACGCCTGCCACGCAAAGAGCCGCGGCGTCCACGGCGTCAGCTGAGAACCCGGTGCGCCACCAGAGCCCGCCCAGTGCCGTAAGCGCCACGCCTGCCACGTGAAACGAATGTGGATGTGACCAAGTGACCAAGCGCCACGCCTGCCACGTGAAACGAAGGTGGATGTCGCCAAGTCTGACGCTTGTCGCCTAGTGCCACGCCTGCCACGCAAAGAGCCGCGGCGTCCACCGCGTCAGCTGAGAACCCGGTGAGCCACCAGAGCCCGCCCAGCGCCGTAAGTGCCACGCCTGCCACGTGGAACGAAGGTGGATGTGACCAAGTGCCACGTCTGCTACGTGAAACGAAGGTGGATGTCGCCAAGTGCCACGCCTGTCACCTAGTGCCACGCCTGCCACGCAAAGTGAAGGTGGGTGTCACCAAGCGCCACGCCTGCCACGCGAAGAGCCGCGGCGTCCACGGCGTCAGCTGAGAACCCGGTGCGCCACCAGAGCCCGCCCAGTGCCGTAAGTGCCACGCCTGCCACGCAAATCAAAGAGCCGCGGCGTCCACGGCGTCAGCTGAGAACCCGGTGCGCCACCAGAGCCCGCCCAGTGCCGTAACTGCCACGCCTGCCACGTGAAACGAAGGTGGATGTCAGGAAGGACAAGTTGTGTGTGGGCAAGTTGCGCGTGGACAAGTTGTGTGTGAGGAGGAAGTTGTGTGTGAACAAGTTGTGTGTGGACAAGTTGTGTGATGACACGTGTGTGTGTGTATGAGTAATGTATGGGCAATGTATGAGTAAGGCAAGTTGTGTGATGACAAGTTGTGTGAGTTGAGTTGCATGTGAGCAAGTTGTGTGTGAGTTGAGTTGTGTGTGTGAGCAAGTTGTATGATGACAAGTTGTATGTGTGAGCAAGTTGTGTGTGAGTTGAGTTGTGTGTGAGCAAGTTGTGTGAGTTGAGTTGTATGTGAGCAAGTTGTGTGTGAGTTGAGTAGTGTGTGCGTTGTGTGATGACAAGTTGTATGTGTGATGACGGGAGGCGGCGGGAGGAGGAGGAGGAGAAGGCGGCGGGATACAGAACCAAAAACAAGAACCCCACACAAAGATGTGGGGAACAAGGTTCCCAGAACAGGTTTTCAAGCAAGTGTTTCCAGGAAGAGGTCTCCAGGAAGAGGTGTCCAAGCAAGGTTCCCAGCAAGATTACCATTTCCAGGCAAAACAAGGTTCCCAGAACAGATTTTCAAACAAGTGTTGCCAGGAAGAGGTTTCCAGGAAGAGGTGTCCAAGCAAGGCTCCCAGCAAGCTGGTTCCCAAGCAATGTTTTAAGGAAGAGGTTCCCAAGCAAGGTTCCCAGCCACAGGTTCCCAGGAACAGGTGCCCATAGAAGGTTCACAAGTAAGGTTCCCAAGCACGTTCCCAAGCAAGGTTCCCAGCAACAGGTTCCCAGGAACAGGTTCCCAGGAACAAGCTCTTCCCAGAAAAAGTTCCCAGGCAATGTTTCCAGGAAAAGGTTCGCAAGCAAGGTTCCCAGGAACAGCTTCTCAAGCAAGGTTGCTAGGAAGAGGTTCTCAAGCAAGGTTCCCAGGAAGAGGTTCGCAAGCAAGGGTTCCCAGTTGCTCCTGGAAATTTTGCTTTGGAACCAGCTCTTCCTGGGAACGCTTGCTTGAGAATCTGTTCCTGCGAGCCTTGTTCCTGCTTGGAACCTTGCTTGGAAACGGTTCCTGGGATCTTGCTTGGGAACCCTTTTTGGGAACCGTACTTGCAGGTTCCCAAGAACAGGTTCCCAGGCAAGGTTCCCAAGCAAGGGTTCCGAAACAGTTGCCAAGCAAGGTTCCAAGGAACAGGTCCCCAAGCAAGGTTTCCAAGAAAAGTTTGCAAAAAATGTTTCCAAGAATAGGTTTGCAAGCAAGGGGGGTTCCAGCCTTTAAACAGAGCAGCTTTTACACACACACAGAAGCTTTTACACAGAGAAGATTTTGCACAGACAAGCGTTTGCGGGAAGGAACTTTGAGCACAAACGGTTTTTACATACAGCAGCTTTCACACAGAGAAGCCTTTGCGCGGACCAGCTTTCACACTCAGGTTTGTTTTCACA